ATCTTGAAATTGTCATAACATTGTAGTTAACTATATCCTCTAGTGGAAGCCTAACTTTAGGCTTTTAATCTTAGATTGACCTTATTTTGATTTACATAAAGCCAACTGCTGGGTCCTGAGATTGTTTAATTCCAAATCATTTACTGTATGCGCACATAGACCAGTACGTGCCTAATATTTCTTGTGCAACTATTTGCTTTATTTTATGTGCAAATAAGGTTCCGTAATGCATGCATATGACTTGCTGTATTTTATGTATTACAACATAGAGGTTTTTATAAAATCATAATGCAAACAAAAATTGAATAATTAATATCCTGCAACAGCAACAAAGTATAGTTTTATATTTCATATTTGTTCATAACTGTACAACTGAGTGGTTATATTTCATACCGTATAAATGTAGAGTTGCTTTATTTCATATCATGCAATAGAGTACTGTAGAGTACGCTAGATGTGGTTATATTTCATGCAACCAAGTTGCTTTATTTCATATACGATAATGCAGTTTAATTTGAACTAGATGCTGCGTAGCAACTAGAAAACTATGTGTAATTTGTAGCTAGGAGTATTGATTATTTGGCTGATACTTAACGCAAGATTTATGGCATTGATAGATATGGCTTTTTCAGTGAATACGTTGTGGCAGGCCAGAGAGATATGTTATATATTAGCATATCAGCTGAGTCGAAGGGAAGGATAGATTGAAAATGCTAGGATTTCATCAAATCTTATAGGACATTATTTGAAAATGATATTGGTTGTGGAATCACAATATCAGTTTTATGGATAAGAAAATTTTATGTTTATCAAAATAGATACTGTACTTGTTTATGACAAATGTATGTTACTGTAGTAGGCAAGGTGACAATGAATCTCAACATGATGGCACAATTGAAAAAGTTCTGTCTGCCGTATTTGAGAAAATTTTACCCCGGTAGTTGTATCAAGCACATAGAGGACATGTATGCTTTGCTTCCTGTGCAGAATTCCATAAAGTTGCACCTGTATTTTCAGCGTTTTGTGTTTGAGCCTACTAAGTACTCACTTTACCCCTGTTTGGAAAGAGTCTACTGTATCATACATTAGGTAGAGTGCCTAATGTGCCTAATTAGGAAAAGTGCCTTTCCTAATGACACAAGCGAAGTGCACAGCATCTGTCTTGGTCAATGTGTATCATTTGCTTCTTGATTTCTAGTTATTCTTTCCATTTCTTTAACTGTGGCCCTCTATTTGTAGTAGTCCAGGTTTCGGTATGCCAGGACAGATAATTTTAACACACTGATTTGAGAGTAAAGCATGCCTTTAGCTTCTACTACATCCTCTTCAAACCGCAAAGTAAACACACACGTATTTGTTCTATTTAGAGCAAAAATTATTTGGTGAGGTAGAGAGCAAAAACTGCAAATTAGCATCTTAGTAACTACAGAATTTGCACAAAGCTTTTTTCTACTCGACTAGCTACAGTATTGAGTGAGCAATATAAGGGTCCTAGCATTGATATAAAAGACAAGGAACTCTTTGTATAAGGCATACCTGAAAGTAAAATATAGCTGGGCTTAATATCCCTATGTAATATTTAAGGAGTAGTTTTGTAAATATAATTATTTGTAAAGCATATACTTATTGTACAACAAAAATATATTAAAGGGCATTAAAAGATCAAACGCTTATACATACAAGTAATAAACAATTATTGTAAACATTTTGGAAAATACAGTAAGATCCTGAATAAGATGTAATTTCCTTAAAAAATTGACTGAAGTGTGTGTTACAAAAGTACTAGAGTTTCAACCAGTGGGGGAATACGTGTGTGAATCCATGAATTTGAAATAGATGGGGTCCAGGGATAGACTTTCACAGATGGAGAGTAGATGTAGATCACCTCAACCCTGCCATGGTTGGGGCTGAAGTTAGAAAATTCATGACTATGGCACCTAGATGGATGAAAATGGTGCACTCAGACCTAAATTTTATTAATATTTTCCTTTTTTCTCAATTTTTCGTATAAATTTATAAAATTTTGGGGGCCCCTTGAATCTTCCACTGTCAACTAACAATTACTAAAATAACATAATTTTAATATTAAACATTCTGATAGTCTACAGGTAAGTGGATCATGATGATTCTTGCATGTTATTTGTAGCAATGGCATAAAGTAGACATAGTATCAATACTAAAATTTGTGTTAACATAAACTTTGAAAGGTTACTGAACTTCAAATATTAAGTTATTTTCTAGTCATATAAACTACTAGCCATAATAATAATAATGATAATGGGTGATTATATATACAGTAGTGTAATAATGCTATGTAAATTTTTGGCTCATTAAAGATGTTTTTAATATTGAGAATAATTCTGTTTCTAAGGATTGAACTGACTTTTACATCTCTGTCCAGATTATCAATTTAATTTCCTTTCTTAAAATTGCTATGCCATATATAGTCATCATATGCCTATATATGGTCATGATGTATTTGTCACATGACCATATTTAGGCATGTCACATGATCTTGCATTTTACCTTTCAATGCGTAGAAATTGGAATGTTAATATACATGTTTGAAATGTCAAAGCATAAAGCACACAATACATGTTTTCACTTCTTCATTGATAACTAAAATATTAATGATCTTTGAGTTGTGTTGGTTGATATTTCAAACTTGTACAACCATAAAATATTCAACATTTCTTAACTAATTAACTGAAGGTTTCCTCAGCTTCATTTCATTCTATTTATTGGAGAATTTTTTTGTGACAATCTCTTTTCTTTGATTACTACTAAACACATTCTTTCATCTGGCATCTAAGCGAGTATACTGTCCAGTAAATACTCAACCAACCCTTAGCCCGAGAACATGTGAACCACCGAAGGATAGCAGTCTTTGCTCTATCAAGAAATAATGCCCCTTTTTTTCGCTTGTTTCTTAATCATTTTTTAACTAGATGAGCACACCCACATCCCACCCACTTTGCCTTTCTGTAAATCTGAATGTATGAGTATGAGTGGTAAGTTAAAGGCTGCAGATTAAGAAAATTAATTTAGATTGGTTTATGGTTGCTGTGAACATTATTTATGAAAATAATAAATGAAAAGTTGCTGAGCATTCGAAAGTATCAGAACCATGTTTCCTGTTACACCATACACTCTTTTATACTTGCGCTAAAAAAAGTAAAGCATTTCATAATCTGCCAGAATAAGCCAAGTTATAGTAAGATTAAAAGGTCAACCAATATTAATCGATTAGTAAATACTGTATATAATAATAGATTTTTAAAACTGTTTAATTCAGTATGCTAGGGCAAGACTTTTTTTTATACCTTGTTTCGCTAACTTATTTTTTTAAAGGTCGTCAGAGGAGAGTGGAAAATATAAATTAAATTTTTTTTGTTTGTTTTGTTTTGGAGCAATGTCTTTGTAGCCAAAACAAAAGTCAGATAATGCACAGTTGGTACAGTATTTTGTTACAACTTTTTTATAAGAGTTCTTCCTTCAAATATTTGAATAATTATAAGTAATACAGTACCATAAAAAATTTATTGGAAAAGTAAGATCACAAATATTCCAGTGTGCTTTTGGGGAAAATTAAAATAGATACCTTTTAATACTGAACAGTGATGTACCATTACAGCTAAAAAGCTATTATTATAATAACAGTGAAGAAAATATGAATAAATGTATAAAAGAGAATTGGCAACTGTAAGTACTGGTAATCAAATGATCTAAATTTGATATGATCATTGATCATCAACTTATAGTACTGGTCTAAACAACATACTAAATTTGTTTCTATCCAGAGTGAAAGCATTTATTAGCATGCAGTTAGCGCTTAGGCCTACTGTTGAGAGGTGTCCTAGCATGCTCAGGGTTTAGAGACTTCTTTGTGTCTTTAGTGAACCAGCCAGGCTGAAGTGATTAGGCCTGGCTATTATCATATGGTTATTCGTCTGTCAGTTCTGTGTAGAATCGATAGTGTAAAATATTGGAGACTACTCTATTTGGTGATTGTATTATAGCTGAAATTAAAAATTACTAGGTGAATATTTTGGGCATATTGCTTTTCAGTTCTAAAGTACATACTGTAATCAATTGGATTTTAAAAAAATCATATTGAGATAATTAGCATTGTAACATAAAATTGGAAATTACGGTAGCTAAAAATTGGCATTCTGTGTTCTATGTTTGTAACATTTGTGTATTATTTGATTGTTATTGCAAGTATCTGCTGATCTAGATGGTTGTCCCAAAAAAAACCAAAAAAAAAAAAAAAAACAATAATGATTCGCTATACATGATTCAAAAATTAAATTTTATTATCTTGTTCAATTCAATTTGGCTTTAAATTGACATTAAATAATATTTGTGTCATGTATTTTGCAGTAATTAAAATAATGAATTGCTCATTTTGAAATGATTTTTATAATTCTTTCATTAAAATTAATTTTCAAATTTTTGTTTCGCAGATATTGACTGAGTTATCAGTTTCCATACCTTGCATGTGACATACTAAAATATTGGAGACTTCTCTATTTGGTGATTGTATTATAGCTGAAATTAAAAATTACTAGGTGAATATTTTGGGCATATTGCTTTTCAGTTCTAAAGTACATACTGTAATCAATTGGATTAAAAAAAAATCATATTGAGATAATTAGCATTGTAACATAAAATTGGAAATTACGGTAGCTAAAAATTGGCATTCTGTGTTCTATGTTTGTAACATTTGTGTATTATTTGATTGTTATTGCAAGTATCTGCTGATCTAGATGGTTGTCCCAAAAAAAAACAAAAAAAAAACAAAAAAAACAATAATGATTCGCTATACATGATTCAAAAATTAAATTTTATTATCTTGTTCAATTCAATTTAGCTTTAAATTGACATTAAATAATATTTGTGTCATGTATTTTGTAGTAATTAAAATAATGAATTGCTCATTTTGAAATGATTTTTATAATTCTTTCATTAAAATTAATTTTCAAATTTTTGTTTCGCAGATATTGACTGAGTTATCAGTTTCCATACCTTGCATGTGACATACTGTAAGCACAAGAGAACAGCTAACAGGAAATATATATTTGTCTAAGGCAGTGGCTTACCAAACATCCTTATTACACTAGATCCCAATGTTGGTGTGGTAGGAGCTATACGAACTCTATCAAAATGCCATTACCTAGTAGTGTTGCAAATATCAAGGATCCAGAAATTTCCTCACTTTTCTCCAACGAGGATCCTGAGAAACTATTTGATGAACTTAGAGAGATTGGTCATGGAAGCTTTGGTGCTGTTTATTATGTAAGTATCCGAGAAATATTGTAAGTTACTTACCGTAAGAATTATAGTTTCTTTGTAATTAAACAATGTAGAACTACGTAAATATTATAGTAGGCCTATACTGAGAAAATGTAAATATTTAGAGCTACAGAATGTATTTTGTCTGTAAAGATGTAAGGTCTGCAACTAATAGTATGTAGAACATAACCATGTGACAATTATTCACAAACATTCTAGGAAATTGTCATCATCTATAAACAAACCTCATCAATCATTGGACATTCTTATCCATCACCACCATCATTTACATAATGAAAATGCAGAAAATGTATATACTGTAACGCTTTATGCCGTTACGTAGTCTCAAGGCGCTCGAAGTGTGGACTAGCTCCTACAGTAACTTGCTTCTGCCCTAAGGTTCTCTTCATGTCTGAGCTACCCGGCAAACCAGCTACTTTCGTCTGTCCACTCCCAACTCCTCTCGAAAGATATATCTTACTGGGTTCTCTACATTGAGCCATACTGTGTACTCTGGGCCTACGGTTTATATTCCTTATCTAAGAAGACTATTCCACCACCAAAGACATAGGCGAGCATTCGTTCTAACCATCATACCAATCAAGTATGAATTTTTCTTGCTTTAATTAAAATGATGTTTGTGGTTCTAATGTCTCAGCTATGGAGGAAGTTGACTCAGCTGATACAATTCGGACATTTCTTTTTTTGTCTAGTGCATTTTGGTTTTATTTCCCTCTTTCCACCAATGAGTGTAAGTGCCTGTTATGGTTGAAATCTTCTATGTAGAATTTTTTTTTTTCTAAGATTACATTCTATAGGGAATGAAGAAAGTTACACATTGTTTATGATTTTACTGTTTCATATGACCAAAGCAATAAAATCAGTAACATATTTAGCCGTGGGAAATGCTATGTACAAGTAATTTAAGATACAGAAAAAAGTCTTTTATTACTGTACTTTCCTTTCATAAAAAAACAAATAGTTTTTGCTCGTGATGAGATACAACATGTTGTTACTTAATATAGTCTGGAGTACAACTTAGTTATTCTTAAATGTACACTTTAAGTAAATAAATTCAATTTCACATTAGCATCACATATCTTCAGGCATTATAAGAATTTTGTATTCAGCACTAGATTATTGCATGCTATTCGTAATTCGCAGCAAGCCTTAAACACAAATATATTATTATAAATTCAAATTGAGTTAATCTACAGTATACATATAGATTAAAATTTTCTCTTTTACCTTTTGTATTTATTGGCAAGATCATGCTCTATAAAAACACTCTTCCTAACACTAGGCCCAGTGGCGGCACTAAAGGGGCTGTCGGGCTATTACCCCTTCGTTGGGAGGTCTTGCCCCTCCCCCATCAGGGAGAAACCTGCAATTCGTATTTTCTACATATTAGTAGACTCTAAGATCGATTAAATAAGCATTTGAAATCCCTAAATTGTCATATTTTTGAAGGCTTCGCCCCAAGACTACTTAACAAAAATTTTGAGCGACACCCAACGACGCCCATTTTGTTCTCGTCAAGGACATCAGGCCCTCCCCCCTTCCTCGAGGACCATGGACCACCGTCTGGCAAATCGTGGCTCTACCCCGACTAGGCCTACATACACATTAAATATTTTGTTGATTATAATTTTTTTTAAAGCGTTAGTAAAGTTATTGACCAGACTAAAAGTACACACAGCATGACCTTTGGTCAGTTCATAAGGTTATTTTATCTCTTATGTGGATTTTATAAATATTTGTAGTTTGAATAACAAGATAGTGTTTAACAGAGATTAACACACCATACTAATAAGCAGTGCTTTTAGTCTGAAACGGGTACTTAAAAAGTCATAAATATTCATGAGACTCAGTTGCACTATGATCATTATTTTAATTGATTTAAGAGATTAGACTACTTCTGTGGATAGATTAGTACTGTATGCATAGTGTATCCTATTCATTCATATTATAAGTATATAGTAGATGTTTACATGTATAAGTATGTTTACATATTATAAGTTTATCCCATGTATGAAATTTAGCATTGTGTAGGATACACAAGTTCTTAAAAGACTATTAGAGATATTAATGCAGAGAGGAATTAGAACATACCTGGGATTCATGTTATATTAGTATAATGTTTTCTACACATAAACATGTGATCATGGAGATGTGATGATTGTAGGATGGGCTTACAGTATGTTCTTGAATGGTTATTACCATAATTCCTCAGATATAGTCCAACCTCAGGTACAATCCTACCCCCCCCCCACTTTACGCCCAACTCCGAGTACATGCATTTCCCCGGGCAAAGTCCCAGGGTATAATTAAGGTGAGTAGGCCTACAGTAAGTCTAGGTCGGCAAATTTAGCAAATGCTCACAAAATATAAGGATTTGGTTCCGAATTCGGCAGACCTAAATTAGATTAGACTTGGGAGGGGAGCAAACTGCACTTAAACATGTCTGGCTGGGTGTGTAAATATATCGGTACATGTGTATTGTGTAGGATATGCACACGTTTGTGAATGATTATTAATGGTAGAGAGAGGAAGTAGAACATACCTGGAATTCACATTCTTAACATGCTTGTTTGTATCTCTGTCATTTACAGGCACGCAATGTCAAAACCAATGAAGTTGTTGCCATCAAAAAGATGTCGTACAATGGAAAGAATTCCACAGAGGTCAGAACTTTCCCCAAAATATCAATGTAGAGTTTGAAAAATGTTTTATAAGATAATGAATTTCATATAACTATGTAGGTAAATCATAATTGCTGTTCTATTTTTGGTAGCTTTTTTTAAACTTATAATAAATCGGTGTTATGTCTGATGACAAATTGTTTCAAGCACAGCACCATCGGTTGTTATAAAATGACAGTTCATTGGAAAATGATGCAAGCATTATTGTGGATTTATCTATCTGGAAATTATTAAAATATTTAAAAAGAAATAAAAATGTTGGATTTAGATGTAGGAACATAAAAATCTAAACCTACAAAAGTAGGAGTTTACATAGATATGTATAGTACACCACAATATCTGGATTTCCATAACATTTGTTTCTCTTCTCCAACAGAAATGGCAAGATATAATTAAGGAAGTGACGTTCCTACGGCAACTGAAACACAATCACTGTATCGAGTACAAAGGATGTTATCTACGTGAACATACAGCTTGGGTAAGTGAAGTCATTGCTTCTACGTATATTTCTTACATTAATGCATCAGTCTGTTTTTAACATTACATAAGTGAGTCAGATCTGTAAGAAATTGATTTTAAAGTTACTTGACAAGACGGTCTTTGTATTTGTATAGTACTCTAAAACACTAGGCTCTGTTTGTAGTAGAATTTTTGAACAGACTGTGTAACATTCTTCTTGGTCAAATTACCTACCTACCTCTACACAGACCGTGCAAATGTTGCCCAGCAAAAATAACCAGTTTGTTCTAAGCAAAAAAGTCCAATGTTAAGAACAACATGACTTTTAAAGTTGAAAAAACCCAGAGTACATGCTATTTCACCACTTCATTAAACTTTTCACAGAAGGTATCAGTAATTAAAATAGCTATACATACTAAAAATCTATCATTTAGACTTGAGCTTGGTATACCTATTTATTGGTGATATTTACTGCATACCGTATTTATTTGAATAAACACCCGGGGCATATATTGTTGAGAAGGGTTTTTAGGGGGAGTTTATTTGAGGAAGGCATTTATTTATTTGTTTATAAAATGGATACGTATTATGCTCATATAAATGCCTCTTAATTTCACTGTAAATGCGGTACTACAACACATACTTACTGTCAAAATGTGTTATTGCGATCATAATAAGGACTTATTTGATCCCAAATAGGTTAAAAAAATGTAATTCTACTGAAGTAGAACATTAATAGATTGTGTTGTCATTTAAGGGGCGTTTATTCGAGGCAAAAAATAACGCCAGGTCATCATTTAATTGAATTGAATATATTCGAGGGAGGTTAATTATTTTGTATTGATAATATTGTTTATTACAAAGACATTCAAAGACTGCATTTTCTAATCATTTACTATTTACTTGCATATGTTCATAGACAACTATTTATTCTGACTTTTACAGCTTTCCATGGAATACTGCTTAGGCTCAGCTTCTGATATTTTAGAAGGTAAGGAGAGAATAAATGACAGGAAAAAATGTAGTTTGAGGTCATGAAAGTATTTTGTAACCTACAGTACTTTAAAGTGATATTCCTACTGACTGATGTCATAATTTATTCCAGGCCTGCATTTATCATGCAATTATAGTGTAAACACTAACGCTTTGCATCTTGTAACTGGCTGTGTTTAAATTACTTCTGAATGGGCATGTTTGACTTTAATAATGTACTTTCACCTGACTCCAACCTGACCTCTGGTTAATGCCATTTAAGAGCTATTTTCTGAATGGGGATTAAGCAATAATAAGCAAAATACTATCTCATGACTCATTGCTGTAATACAGTAACCAATCAAAATCTAGCTTAGATGAGATGAAAAAGTTAACCAATCAGCACATGTTTTTCTTGAGATACTGATATTGTTGTAATCCATAATGGAATTTTCTGGGTACAGTTCAGCTGTTTAAAAAGCATTACTAAAAGGATATTAAGTCAGAAAGTAGGGTATATAATATTGTGTATGCTAAAGTTTGCATATCACTTAATGCCAAAATCTTAGTTATTTCCTTTAATTTATCTGTTGTTTTAATTGAAATCTATGAATTGGATGGTGTTGTAGTTTGGTGGATAAAACTTTGTCCAGATTATCAAATAATTTTTTTTTAATCAAACTTACCCATATATAGTAATGATGTGCCCACATAGAGTAATTAGTGCCTTGGTCATGATGTGATGACATCATGACCATATCTAGGCATGTCACTTTTTTTCTTCTTTTTTTTTCAAATAAAATTTGATAGATTGGTGAAGGCTTAAGATTCTTGCCATACCATCACTAGGCCCATGGTAATACTACAAATCTTAAAAATTCCTAATGACTAATAATAATATAAACAAAACAACTCCTTTAGCCTTGGTTTGTATAATATACATGAATGACAAGTCACTATAAATACTATTATTGATCTGTTTATCGAAAGGTCCACTGATTAATCTCAGATAAGAAAGTATAATACATACTCCAAGTATTGAAATACACGCCATCGTGTTGGGATTCAATATTTCGACATTAATTATGTCATCATCAGGAATGAGTGATCTGTTTATATTTCTTGGATTATTTGTCGTATTGTTTCAATTAAAGTCCAAGGTTATCATTTTAAAATCCATATGAATCATACAAAACATATCCTTCCTCAGTGATATCTCACCTTTTATAATTGTTTATTAAAAGTTTATTTTTTCCCATTCTTTTAAGTTTGTATCGATTGATTTTTTTTTTTTTTTATCTCTGCCAGTAGCTTAGTCACACACTGTAATGAATATTTGGTGAACTCTGTATTTCTTAGTTCATTTGTATATAAATTTATTTGTTAATTTGTACCGTATATACTCTCGTATATGGCGATCCACGTATAAGACGACCCCCGAGTTTGGGTAGATTTTTGGAGAATTTTTATGTCGGATGACCCCCCTGTTTCACCGTCAGAATTCCTACTGCTTGCTGCTCTCTATCTTGATACTGCTAAAAACAGAGCCAAATGAAAAATGGGAAAAAAATTCTGTGAATTCTTTTTCATTTTTCATTAATTTTTTTTTTGTCTCAAAAACATTGGTCATGGTGATATGATGATGTTGTATCATATAAATAGCTATTTATCATATAACACCTGATAGTAGTCAAACCAGACCAGCTTCCATGTTTTTTTCTGTTTTTTACATCCAAAATGTCCATTTTTCATACCAACTCCTTTGCAGTCATTACTTTCTATTTAAAATATTCCATTACCGCTAAAAATAAGCCATTAATGTCTGCAACACTTTCATTGACACTCCCAACCCCATCACATGTTTTATTGAATTATTATTATTATTATTATTATTGTTATTATTATTATTATTGTTATTATTATTATTATTATATAATTGTTTTTCCAAGGGAGAGAAAAAATAATGTAAACATAAAACAATGGAATTTCAATTTTGACTAATGAGCTCAGATGCAACATTGTTTATTTAAAGCAAACTATATTACTATTTTCAAGGTCTTTATAATGTTTTATCTTTAGCTTATAGTCACTTGATCTTTAGACAGTAAAGGTAGGATAATATGTGTTTGATTTGTGTGCCAACTCTAATACTAGCATTACATGAATTTTTCTTTTTGTTCTTACAGTTCATAGAATGCCCCTTCAAGAAGATGAGATCGCAGCAATAGCCGAGGATGCACTTAAAGGATTATCCCATCTTCATAGGCATAACAAGATACATAGAGATGTAAAGGCAGGCAATATATTATTAACAGATAATGGAACTGTCAAGTTAGGTATGTTCTTTATTCCTCATTTTTTAAAAATGTATTTATAATTCTGTTTGATAAACAATTTTTTTTTAGAAAAATGTATATCCCTATCTCGAATTCAAGTTGCAGTGGGCACTTTATATCATTCCTTAATTGCATTTTTTTTTTATTGAAATGACTTTGGAAAAGAAGATTGTAGTGTACAGTTCACAAATATGTTTTAAACATCGTTTTACTTATTTAGTATGTTTTCTACATCTATTTCTTTGTGTTCATATGTTCTTTATTTAATTATTATTTCCTAAATAAATCTTTTATATCTTGCAGCTGATTTTGGCTCTGCGTCATTTGTATCCCCAGCCAACTCATTTGTAGGGACACCGTACTGGTAAATTTAATTGCTTAAAGTTTTAATTCAAGTTTAGCTCAGTATTATAAAAGTTTTGAAGTATATTCATGGGGTGTCATCACATAATCAGTCTTTGTACCATACATGTTGACATATTTACAGTAGATGGATGATATTGAATACTTTCCTAGGTTTAGTACAACCAGACTAAGATCATTTAGAATAAAGTTGTCTGAAAACATACTTTAGAAAAGAGGCTTAATTTGTCATGACACATTTTATGTATTTCCTATATGCGATGTGCTCCTACAAAATGTTGAATTAATTATATTTTTTAATACTAAGACACTTGAGTTTCTCCCATGAGCCATTTTGAGAGGGTTTTTGAATGTCTGATATAGCTATGACAACCCTTTGTGCTAATAGATACATTTCGCTAGGTTGGTCACATGGTGTATAGTGGGTATCGATTGTAAACATGCAGTGCAAGTGACGCTTGATGATAGGAATACTCATGGATTCTTCAGAGTGAATGTTGGTTAGAATGCCAGTAACTATACCAAATTGATTGGAAATCAAAATTGAGAGTTTTGCTATGATGGTTTGATGCTCCATAAAATAATAGCCCCAAACATCAAGATTTTTTTGAGAAATGGTAGGGGTGAGCCCCTGCATGTCTACGGCCTGTTTAGGTATGCACGAGAGTCTTCGATCTGCGAACTCCAACTTTGACATGCTACGATTTCTAGGCTAGCTTAGGTTTACAAAGGATCTCATAAATTCAAAAGCATACAAAGCACATTGAATGCTAAAATAAGTAAATAAACACTATTTTGAAAGACCATACTGCCTTTACTTGCCAGTTACTTCTTCACTTTAATAGTGGGCGAATGTTTGCAAAACCATAACATTACTTTTTCCTATACTTTAACACTGATCCACTGTAAATTCTCCATGGTAATACCCACTATATGTCACATGACCGGCTGTAAACAAACATGACTCTTTGGATATGCCATCCACGTAGTCTAAGAAACAATGTCTTTAAAATTTGAATGAATTGTTATTATAGGATGGCTCCGGAGGTTATTTTAGCAATGGATGAGGGGCAATATGAGGGCAAGGTTGACATTTGGTCTTTAGGAATAACATGTATTGAACTTGGTGAGTACATTCATTTAATCTTGATTCACACACAATTAAAACAATAATTGAAGGTAGTATAGAACATTCTTAGTAGACAGTTTTTGTAAAAGAATCAAAAAGAACATGTTAGTGATTGGTCTACCCTTATGTAATGTAATATAGTTGGACTTGATATAGCGCACAGGTGGGCAAAGTGGGGCCCGCGGCCGCTTGAGTCCCTACAGTGATTTTTTGTGGCCCGCGAAAATGAATTAAAAACCCTATGTGTGTGGCCCGCCAAGAAACATTGGCTAGAGAACACCTTGTTTTTTAAGGCTCGACACTGATCATATTTAAAAAGTAACGTTAAAACTCAGAATAAAATGGTGTGAAAGCAGTGCTTGGAGGTTTTTGGAAGGTCACCGGAAATATAAAAGTTTGGGTGCGACACTTGGTGTTAAATTGAAAATTTACTTTGGCCCTCTGACCGATTTTTATGGCCACCCCCAATATAGTGCATTATATCAAAGTCTCAGTGCTCTTAAAAATGATAAAAATTATTTTTAAAAAAGCAACCTATTATAACCAAGAAACTATTTGAATGCAGAGTGAATAGACTAAGTGCTCTGTTTTGGAGGATTTTTTTAATGCAATATAAACTATTTTGGTAGTTAAAATAGATTGTTCATAATGTCACTATCGTAGAAAAAAAATTGTAAATAAAGATTTATAGATTGAATGGAGGCTCATAACTGCTCTCAGGTGGTTCATTATTGAGATATGTTCATTGTTTAAAAGACTACTTTCTGCGATTCAACAATTTTAAAATGTTAGTATTAATTGCACATCAAGAAAATATTTACCTTAATCGTTGTTTTGAAAATTTGAATTATGAAGTACATAAAAATATAAATATGTATATTAATCTCCTAAATAAGTAGATGTCAATTTAAAATAACCAGTTTATATTTCACATGGCCATTTGCCCAGTATTGTATAATGTTGTTAAAAACAAAGAAAAGTTTAAGGATATTTTATGTGGTACTTTTTCCCCACCAGCGGAGCGCAAGCCACCACTATTCAACATGAACGCTATGAGTGCATTATACCACATAGCGCAGAATGACCCACCAACGCTTAGCTCTGAAACCTGGTCACATGAATTTAGGAATTTTGTTGAAAGGTGTCTTGCAAAAGATCCTGAGCAAAGGCCATCTGCAGAGCAATTACTAAGGGTGAGTAGTCACACATCGCAATGTTCTATTCTGATAGGATTTTTGTTTGTAATGTTTAGAGGCATGATAGACTGAGCCGTCGTAATAATGCCTGTCTTACAGATTTTCCAATATCATTTTGTATGAATTTGTCTGTTAATTGGTAAATAGAGTTTTAGTAAGGTATGTAAAGCAAAGATAATATGAAATACAAGAAGCAAAAATATTGGCCCTATGAACTCTTGATTTAACAAACTGCCAACTAAGCTAAATTGTTAATTTTGTTAATAGGTATACACAATAAAAACTTTTATGTGCTAATTTTCTTTATCTTTCCACATTTACAGCATCCTTTTATTATTAGAGATAGAAATAACAATGTTATATGTGAACTGATTGAAAGAACGAAAACAGCCGTACGCGAATCAGATAATCTCAACTACAGAAAAATGTTGAAGTTAGTGATGACACCGAGTATAGCGCCCTCTCCGAAGGATGAGAACAGTGAAGAGGAGTCAGATAGTGTAAGTTGATAACTGTATAAAATGATAATAATTGTGTTTTTATCTTTTTGTGAGTATCTTGCAGTTGTACTGTATTTCAGAACAGCTCTGTTTATGTTAGTTACTGTAATTAAATTATTTTGGTCTTCCATTTTTCTCACAAGCTACTTGCCATCTTTTAGCTAGTGGCTTTTAACAGCGCTATGTATTTAGTAGATAAGAGTTCATCAAATTCTTAAACCAGATTTATGTCCTTATTTTGATATTTTAATGTTAAAACCAAAATAATTAAGTGCTTTTACAGAGGTTGCAAATATGGATTTTTTGTTGATAATAAAAATAAAGATTTATAAAAAAAAAGTTATGGAAAATAAATATAGTCTTGAACCACAAAATTTAAAGAAATAACTAAGTTATATGGTGACCTATAAATACTTTGAACATCAAAAGCTGTTAATGTATTAGAACATGTGTAGGTTTATTAATTATACAATTGAACTTGAATTGAAAAATTGTTGCATTTCGATAAAACTTGACTTACAGATCATTAATTAATGGAAAACACAACAATTTGGCATGTAAAATAAGATTAACTTAGAAACTGTTTGACTTGGGCTAAGTCAACTTAGGTACGTTTAACTGTATTGAGATCTGGTGTGTTTTCCTTAGCAAGAGGAGGCTCCCCAGACGGGTAGTGTGAGTAGTCAGCAGAGTTTACCAGAGAGTTTTAAGAACAGCAGTAAGAATAGCAGTGTCACAAGTATTCCAGGGGAACCAGCCCCAGAAGAGCCTATGCCTCCTACCGTACAGCCAACGATGAACACGTCTAATGTAAGATTATAGTTTATTTATTATTTTATTATATTTATTTGTATTTTAATGCAAATGTCACACACTTGTCTTGAGTTTGTCAATCGGAGATTATTAATTATTAATTATAAATTGCATGTTAGACATGCCATATTCCTATTATCAATCATTACCTCTATCAGTAAAGGAAATAAAAGTATGCCTGACGTAGCGCGGGAGATGCATTCATCATTGTGAAGATAGCCTTTAGGTATCTGACAAATACCTTTTGTATGGGCGGCCAATTGGGTCGTTCATTGTGCAATAAATCTTGGACACGCTTAAATCAATGGTGGCTCCAGAATTTCGCCCACAGTTGGTCTAATGCATCGTATAAGGGGTCAAAACCAAGGGGCTGCCTGGAGCTCGGTTAGGGTCCTGAAATATAATCCCTGGTGGGTTTCATTTGGAGAGATTTTTTTGGTTTAGGATGCCCCTAAAATTGTGCTTGTAGATTGGCAATATTAGGGATTGGCAATCGCAATAACTTAATTTCGATCGGTAACTTAATGCTGACTATGGAGGTCCATGGAGGTTTATCCGATGCGAGAAATACCCCTCAACCCCTGCTGGTGTCACTGTTGGCTTCAGTGGCTATTCTTTACATGCCATCTATAATTATGTATCTTTGTTCCAATGATCTTGTAATAATGTAGAGTAAAATATAAGTAACAATATTTTGATAACTATCAAGTTTCATGTACGCATTATATATTTAATGAACATGTAATGATGAGCAAAAAGAATTGATATGGAATAATTTTGAGAAAACAAGCATTATTAATTAATTAGTTCTGATAACTCACATTGGTATTAAAGATAATTTTTATCATAAATTGTATTATTTGAATACTCTAAACACATTTTATTTATAATGATACTAAATAATACTAATAATTGTTCTCATTTAAAGAGAAACATTTTTACTGTACAATTACTGTATAATGTTATTAATTATGAATTATTTGAATTATATTTTTGTTGAAAACATCTTCTCCAACAGTCAACAAATAATGTAGCAAAATCTAAACATCTAGAACGTGATGAACATTTCAAGACAATCCGTACAACCACACTCGTTAACAAGCAAGCTAACGAGCATAAACAAAATGAATTACGGGTTCAATTCCAAGGCTACAAGGAGTTGCGCAAACAGCACCGTAAGCAGCTGCAGATGTTGGAATCGCGTCTTCGTCAGGAGATGTCTGAACTGAAGCAAAGACTGGATAAGGAATTTGAGCAGTTTATCCAATGCAATGCTAAAGATATGGAAAAACTCATGTCAAAACATACTTCAGATAAAGATAGGAAGGTAAGCTGAACATGATCAATAACAAGTTTTTCTCTTGCCATTTACAAAACAATTAAAATGCAGTAAATTTTTTCTTTCAAAGTTGATTTTTTATGCTATGTAAATCTAAGTTGTCACAGGAATTAGTGGGTATTGGTTTCCAGGCCGGGAGGAGGGGTTGTCAGACATTAACCCCAGTTGGTCACTAGTAGTAGCTTCCCTTACCTACAGGTTTTTACATACCTCATGGCAGGCCGGCTTATGGCCTAGCTAGCCTACGCCTTGTCACAAACATGTCTTGAGTTTGACAATCGGAGATTTCAAACAAAGCAATCATAAAATGCATGTTAGATATACCATATTTCTAGTATCAATTATTACCTCAATCAGTAAAAGAAATAAATGAGTGCCTAACAGAGCGCGGGAGATGCAATCATCATTGTAAAGATAGCCTTTAGGTATCTGACAAATACCTTTCATATGGGTGGCCAACTAGGTCCTTTTAATGTAAAACTGAGCAACAATGCTAAATATTTAGTTAGTTATTAGGGAGAGCATCCAAATCACATTATTTTGGAAATTTGAAGGTTTTAGACTAATACCTGAATGCCCCTCCTCTATGCCACTAATGTATATTGATAATGATGATACTGTAATTAACATTTTATCAATTTTTAGTTTCTATGCATGTAATGCAATAGGAACTATTGTAATCACTCTGTCACATTTCTTTTGTTTTTTATTGTGTGTAGTATGTGTGTGCGTATGTGTGTAGACATTTATGCAAATGCGCATGCGTCAAAGAAAAGGTTTTCCGACATTTTGTTTTACATCGCGATGCGAAGTTCGATGTGGATTTTCTGTAGAGT